CTCCCAGCATCCTTCCATCCCTATCATTATCTCCTCCCAAACAAGTACCAGGTTTTTCTGAAAAATCTACTTTGGGGTTAAGCTCTCTACACAGATGAGATATCATGCTTAACCTTTATTTGTAGCCAGGTAGCAAAGTGGCTAGAGTGCTGGGTCTGGAGTCAGGAAGACATGAGTTCCAACCCTGCCTTAGACACTAGCTGGGTGACCCTGGTAAGTCACTTAGCCTCTGCCTGCCACAATTTCCTCATCTGTAAAATAAGGTAATAATAGCACCTACCTCCCAAGGTTGTTGTGAGAATCAAATAAGATAATATTTGTAAAGAGTTTCGCATAATGCCTGGCACACAGTAGCCACCTAATAAAACTTTTTCCTCCCTTCTGCAAAAGTGGCATAGTGGAAAAAGCATCAGGAAATCATGAGATCTGGATTTTAGTCCTGGACCTGCCACTTACTTGCTCTGTGATATTGAGGAAATCACCTTCTCTGGACCTCAGCATGTAAAACAAGAGGGTTGGATTAAATGTTTTCTAAGGTCCCCCTTCTTGCTTTAGGATTTTATTACTCTCTGAAATAAAGAGATGAGGACTAGACTTTTTAAGTAAGGAAGTCTCAGATGATAAGACTTCCTCTACCAATGCAGATCAGCACTTTCTCTGCAACTCAGAGTCTTTGAGAGTTGGCTAGACCACTGAGAAGCGAGGAGACTTGGCAGGGTCACACAGCCAGCATGTGTCAGAGTTGGAACTTTAACCCAATTCTGGGCTCTAAGGCCAATTCTCTATCTACTATGTCACATTGCCTTGAAGAAATTACAGTATCATCAATTTCTCCAAGTGCAAGTGGTGGTGGTATTGAGTTGTTTTTTAGTCATTCTCCATACTCTATGATCCCATTTGGGGTTTTCTTGGCAAATATGCTGGAGTAGTTTGCCATTTCCTTCTCCAGCTCATTTTACAGAGGAAGAACTGGGCAAACCAGGGTTAAGTGACTTTCCCAGGGTCACACAGCTAGCAAGAGTCTGAAGCTGGATTTGAACTCAGGAAGATGAGTCTTTCTGATCCAGGCCCAGCACTTTATCCATTGCATCACCTAATTTCATAGTAATTTGATCTTATATACCATGGAGTTGACAAGGATAACAATGATGATGGTGATGATGTTGATGACGACAATGACAATGACAATGATGATTATGATGACAGTAATAGCAGGTTGGTCTTGGAGTCTGCTCATAATTTTTTTTTTTTGCTTTTTTGGTGAAGCAATGGGGTTAAGTGACTTGCCCAGGATCACACAGCTGGTAAGTATCAAGTGTCTAAGGCTGGATTTGAACTCAGGTCCTCCTGACCCCAAGGCCAGAGCTCTATCCATTGTACTACTTAGCTGCCCCTGCCATAAACATTCATGAAATCTCAGTTCAAATCTTGGATTATTAACTTTGTGATTTAGGACAAATCACAGCCTTTCAGAGCCTCAGTTTCCTCATCTTTAAAATGGAAATAATAATACTTGCCCTCTTCACCTCACAGCACTGTGAGGATGTAGTGAAATAATGCAGACGATGTGTTTGCAGAATGAATGGATGGATGGAAATGTATTTATTAAGCACTTACTATGTGCTGAACAATGTGCTAACCACCAAGGGTACAAATAGAAAAGCAAATATAGTCTCTGCCCTCAAGGAGCTTACATTCTAGTAAGAGAAGACAAAAGCAGTGATACATAATGTAAGCAATTATTCTTGTTATAACACAGTCACACCTATAACCTTGGTCCCATAGCATGAGATGCTCAGAGTGTCATCATATCAAGCTTCAAGAATAATTTAAAAATGAGATCAGTCTTGGTCACCCAAAGCTCTGGATGTACCTCTTTTGCTCCAAGGAAATGAAAAAAAAAGTTCTTGTTTATGAGCAGCGGTCCACACTAGTGAGTAGGCCTAGGTGAGATTACCAATGCCATGCAGGCATTTCATTACACGTTATGGAATAACAACAACAACAACAGTAATAACAATAATGATTCACAAGTCTTTTTTCATAACAACCTTGTGAGGAAAGCAGTAGATCATAAATGTAATATCATCTTCCTAATTTTGCAGATGAAGACACGGAGACAAACAGGTTGAGTGATTTGCTGACATTGCATCATTACTGCTTCCAGAGTCAGCATATGGTTTTGAATACCATATTCAAGCACAAATAAAGAGAACAGAGAAATTCACACCAGGTCTGCTGATTCTAAGTCAAGGGCTCCTTCTGCCACATCACAATTTGGAATAGGCCAAGATAATATTTGTAAGCCTGCTCTAGGATCAGCTTTGTGTGTGCTTGTTTTTTCCATCTTGATTCCTGAGTGGATTTGCTGATTTCTATCAAATTTGCTACATGACAGCCTGCTCCAGTGGAAAGGATATGACTTAGGTTCCTAGTGGCAGCTCTGCTCCTTACCACCTTTGTGACTTGGGCTAGTCATGGCATATCCCTTCTTGTTGCCTCCTCTTCAAATGATGGAGTTGGGTTAATATTAGACAGTAGAAGCATTTATGCAGTGCATTACATACCCTGTCTCATTTTATCCTCACAACAACCCTATAAGGCAAGGGCTATTATCATCCTCATTTTACAGCTATGGAAACTGGGGTTCAGAGAAAGGTTAATAATACAGGGTCACATAGCTAGTTATGCCAAAGGCTAGATTTGGGCAAGTAGGTAGTATAGTGGATAGATTGATTGCTGGACCTGGAATCAGGAAGACGTGAGTTCAAATGAGACCTCAGACACTTGCCTCAGTTTCCTTATCTGTAAAATGAGCTGGAGAAGGAATGGCAAACCAATCCTGTATCTTTGCTAAGAATGCCCTAAATAGGGTCACAAAGAGTTGGATATCGCTGAAACAACTAAACAATAACAACAAGATTTGAACTCAGGTCTTCCTGACTCATAAGGACTGTGCTCAATCCAAGTTCTGTGCTCCTTGCTATTCTAGAAGGAAACTTAGAAATCATTTAGGCCAACCCTCTCATTTACAAATGGTAAACTAAGGCTCAAAGTTCACTAATGTCACATAGGTGTTAAATATCAGAACTAGGAGATGAAAGTTAAGTCTTTCAACCCTAAATCCAGCATTCTTCCTACTGCTATAGTCTATGTCAAGCTCCATTCTAACTACAGCAATCTTTGATTCTGTGACCATGACCCTAAACCCAGCATTCTTCCTACTGCTATAGTCTATGTCAAGCTCCATTCTAACTATAGCAATATTGATTCTGTGACCATGACCCTAAATTCAGCATTCTTCCTACTGCTATAGTCCATGTCAAGCTCCATTCTAACTATAGCAATCTTTGATTCTATGACCTCTGCATCCCATGACCCCAGACTAAGGCTTGGCAAACTTTCCAAATGGAGTAAGGAATCAAGGAAGAATGGCCACAAGGTTTGAGTTCAATTCAGATTTAATTGTCACTGCTGCCCTTTGGTTTAGATGATTAACAAAAGGGGATACACAGTCTCATTTAAAAAAAATTATTAATTATTATTATTTACTATGCAGTTGTCAACGATAAAGTCAAGCTTATACCAAATTCAAGCGCAAATAAGGACAACAGAGAAAACCCAAGCTGTTGCTTGCCATGAGTGGTCTGCAAGTTGTTTCAGGCTTTCTGTTCGATAGAAACAAGAAGCGTTTGGGGAGGTTTCCAAGACTGAAATATGAGTATTTAGATGTTGTTGTTGTTGTTGTTGTTAATTTGGATGGGCTTGCTATGGTCCAGGTTAGCAGTAAACACATCATGTGAAGTGCCTGTTTAGAAGGGGGCTGCAAAACTTGGGAATGTATTTGGTAGATGGAGACCCACATTGTAATGGGTATTATGAAACTGTCACTAACAAGTTGTTGCTTTGTAGAATTTATTGTATCCCGAGCAGCTGCCAAACACAGAACAAGACACAATGAGACACCAGTCCCAGCTGGCACTGGGGAGGCAGCCAAGATTTCCTGCCGTTATTGCTGTCATTTGTAAAGAAGAAAGTCTGAGATGCAGAGCCCCAGAGAAGTGCAATTTCTTTTAGAGACTTTGCTTCTCCCTTTGGACAGTGGGGATTTTAGTAAAAAATAAAGATGGATATCAGCTTTGTTGTCAATGAAGAGAAGAATCTATCAGGAAAGAGCCCACGGAGTCTCACTCATATAAAAAAAAATCACAAATACTGTTATTCCTGAAATAGCTGAGCCAAAGATGGTTTCCTCAGAGAAATGGCCTTGAAAAGTGACTCCGATATTTGCCCCGAGGATCTTTTCTTCACAAATGCTCTCAAGTTTAGAAGCAAAATAAATAGAAGATATGTTTAGAAATCAGTGCTTTTGTGTGAGTTTACATAAAACAAGGAGAGCAGAATTAGATGAAATCACCAGGAGTTCCTCAACCTCATTTGAGCCAGTCCTTCTCCAGTCCACCTATCACCAGACTGGCTAACGAATTGCAGCCAGTCAGCGGGCATTTGCTTATTGAGTTCCCACAGGGTACGTTGTACTATACCTTGAGTCTCGAGCTATGCACTCAAAAAGGTCAAATTGTCGCTTGCTAAGTACTGTGTCTCCCCCTTCCTTTGACTTTTCTTCAGTTTCCTGCTCCCTGGCCGGTTGGAAATGCTACACAGAGAATGAGCTAACCAAAAGTTGGGAAGGACCAGGGAAAAGGAAGGGAAACAAAGAATATTGATAATGTTCAAACTGGATATAAGTCTTCTTCATCAGGACTTCCAGAGGCAGCCTGACAGAGTAGACAGAAGGCCGGCTTTGGCGCCATGAAGACCTGGGTTCAGGTCTTGTCTCTGACATTTATAATAGTCTGAGCTGTGTGATTTGCTTTGTCATTTAAATTCTCTAAGGCTATTTGTGTTACAGGCATACATCTCCATACCAGAGACTGCATACCCTAAAGGAATCACAAATCTGGACTTTCTCTCCACCCCCAAAAAAAAAAGGAACAAAATCAAATCAAAACAAATCACATATGGACAATCCTTCCGCAAAGCTACAACAAATATGAAAGAGCAACAATGAAATCCTCAAGATAGAAATGTTTTGCAATCCCAAGTTTCCCCTTCAATCACAGCCCAAACAAAATGGCTCTGTTTGTGCTATTCCCCAATCTGATCCCTCCAAAGTGCTTCATAACAACAGCAACCTAGTCTTAGCAAACAGAGAAGATTGTCAATTACAGTAGACACACTCAGTGCAAGTATGGCTGCTCCCATTCTCTAACTATAGCAGGCATTTTGCTTCCTTCTCCTTTCCCATTTTCCTAGGAAGGCCATGGTATGTACGATGCAATGAACTCAAAGAGTTAAATAAGTTATTACTTAGTTACTAGGCATGTTTGGAAAGGGACCAGGCCCAAACACCACAGTTGGGTTAGTTGTGGTGCTACAGGTAGATGGGATCAATTGCTAGTTCTTCTTGGACTACAAAAGCCAGGAGTGGGCACTGGAATAAGTCTGATGGAGGGGAATGAAGATAAGACACCCAAGTTCTTATTCAGACTCTATCACTAACTAGCTGTGTAATCTTGGATATGTCATGTAATTCTGTGGGACTCAGGTTCCTCATCTATGAAATAAGAATGCCCCTTTCAGCTCTAAACTTCAGTGGTAATGTTGCTTCCTCTCCCTATGATTCTACAAATCAGCTTTGTCAATACCAAATATCACTATTTTCTGCCCCCTAATCACTCCCATAGTTCATAGGATCATAGATTCAGACCAGATGGCACCTCAGAAGTCAACCCCTTCAATTTATAAATGAGGAAATGGAGGGCCAGAGAGTCTAATTTACCCAGGATTTGAATGCAGGTCCTCTGACTTCAGAGTCAATACTCCTTGCATCGTACCATATTGCCAATAGAAAGTTTTGTCTGGCCACATATGCTTTCATGAATGGAAGTAAGTGGTTGAGTATTGTTAAATTAATCAAAAATCTAAATATGAACTATATTTTCCAATCTCAAGCCTGTCCAGGACTTGTGTTCCAAGTCTCACATCATGGATCTATCATGCTGGTGCTTCACTGGTTGCAGTTTTCTTTAAATGCAATGCAATGATCTTTTTTCAGTCCCTCTACTTTCATTACACTAATATTTTCCAACCACCATTCTAATGCAAAAAAATGACCAGCCTCTATAGCCACAGTAAAAATGTTTTCCTTCCTGTCTCTTAATTTACGAATCCAACTTTCAGATGACAGAACGTAAAGGGCAGATGCCTCTGGTGTCAGTGTTTCCTACCCAACTTCCTTCTGATTCATAGCTTTTCCTCTGACTACTCAGTTTTGTTAAAATTATTCAGTCCTTTCCATGGGCAATGATCCTGCATCAGAAGCAGAGTAAATCCTGAGGAGGGTGGTTTTGCTTTCTCAAATGGTTTTAGGCTAATGAATGTGTTAAGAGGTAGGAAAATGGAGATGTTTATTTGCATGACCTATGTAGAGTGTAACCTGAAGGACAGATTATAAGAGTCTTAAATTCATTGACCTATTGCCCACAAAAAAATATTTTCCTATGAGACATTTCTTAACCAAGGATCTAGTTTCCTGAGAAGCTTTGTAGCAGCTTTCCCTCTATTATGCTAATTCTGAAAATACATGAATTTGAATTCTTCTCAGTGTAAGCTTTTTTTTTTCCTAATCAAAATGATTCTTTAGGGACCCATTTAAAGTGCTTTAGTTTTATTGTTTGTCTTGATTTGTATGAGAATGTGTTCATTAAATTGACTCTTACAGAAGCCCAAATTAATTTGGTCATTATCACATTAGCCGATGGTGGGGGGCTCTCAGCATGAGATTTTCAGGTGACCCTTAAGTTGGTGTCAGTTTCTTGGCTTGGTGAAAGATTCCATAAGATCACTAACACTACACAAGAGTAAACAAAGCTTTGACCCTGAGTTCTTATTGTTTCTGGGCATTTGCCCGAGAAAGAAATATTATATGTGCTGAGTGCCAAGACAATTCTGGACTCACTTTCCCACCTCATTAAGTCACATTTTGCAAAAAAAAAAAATCCATTATCTATTATGTTCAACTGAGAACTATAACTACATATTGGGGGGCTTTGAAAGTCCAAAGGACCTTCTTGGGTTGTGGCAATCTTCTCACCCAAGGTAATGAAGCTTTCAGTCCTTCAGGCTGGCAACTTTTACATTGCTCCAAGGTCATGATGTTGGAAGAAGATTCAAGAATCAGCTAAAAACATCAATAGTGGGTTTTTTTTTATCCGACCTCATTGGGTTCAATTAGATTAGATGAGAAGAACCAAATATCAAGGAGAGGAACAAACTTCCTTTTCCCAGTTTTCAGAAAACACTTTGTATGAACATTTTATTCTCCCTAAATCTCAACCATCACTAGCAGACAGACATCTCTTAGGGTGTAGGTCACTTTCTGAGGAAATAAATGGCAGCCATTTTCCTACTTTATTAATAGTGAAGAACTGAAAGTGTTTATGGCTTAGAAAAAGCTGACCACCTGACCAAACTAGACTGTAGAGCCATAAGAGATTAGTTAACCCTCAATTTTCAGCCCTCACCACTTTGCTAGCAGAAAATTCTAAATCATACTGTCATTTCTTTGCAAACACAGGGAGTTTCCCTTTAACCTCTAAGTGAATTCGCAATATTGTCAGTGCCCAAAATGCCATGTGAATTAAGAGCAGGAAGCCACATGTTGAAAAGAGGAATCACTCTGACTCTCCCTTACAAAAAGTCAAAATCCCGGTGGATGGATTCTCCTGGTCCATTTTTCCTTCTACAACTCCCCAGAGTTGTCATAAGATACCTTAGAGCCAATCCGTTTACAGACACTAAAAAGCACGTGAAACAGGCTGCCAATAGTGCCAAAGGCAGTGTCCAGGAGGAGATAGAAAGTGCCCCCCAGGCCCACAGCAATGTCTTTAAGGACAGCTGGGATGGCACAAACTGTGTACATGGGGAAACTGACAATGTCCACAAGGACTCTGATCGGGATACTCAGAATTCGGCAAATGGTTTTCAGCAGGCAGCAGAGGATTCGTAGAAGGGCCCTGATGATTTTGACAATGACCTTGACCACTTTCCAGGGAATGCTCACCAGTTCTTCCCCAATGGCCATGAAGTATGACACTGTTGCTGAACACATCCTATGGACCCCATTTTCCAGAATACCTACAAATTGCTTGGTAATGTACCACAGACAATAGAGAACATTTTTCAGGATTCCAACCATGAGGTAGTATATCAATTGGAAAAGCTTGACAAAAGGGGTAGCAACAATGCCGCCAATTGTTCTGAGCAAGCTGCTCTCATTGGCTTCATCTGGCAATGACCGAGCAGACCGTTTGTTCTGAGAACTGGATAATTGGCTAGAACTTGACTTAGCCTGGACCATCCTCTCTTCATCCTGCACATGGTTAACCATTTCTAATATTTTTTTCATTTTCTCTGTGTCTTGGTCTGCTTCCCCACAATTGTTTTGGAACAGCTGAGTCCCAGATGGGAGCAGCTTTTCAAGATCCTTCACCATCACATCTTCTATGATATCCCCATCCCTCATATGCTTGATGAATCCCATAGCCCACCCTCCAGGAGCAGCACAGCAAGCAGCCAACCAAACAAAGTCAGGGACAGATACTTTGTCCTTAACTCTGTGGTCTGAGGGCACTGCTCCTGTAATGACATACAGGTCATCCCCATTCCCACAGTATGGGGCCAAGGCAAGATCCATCAGGCTATTCACATTCATGTACCACCTTTCCCTTAATGACTGGGTCATAGGTGCAGCATTCGTGAGGGTGTACGTTGCCACCTGGAAATCATCACTGTTAAGGGAACTGAGGTACAGTTGTCCTTTTTGGTAATCAGAATCCAGGTAGTCAGTACTTAGGGCTTGTTTGCTTCCAAGATTGTCTACAGAGTTAACAGCATCTGCTTCATTCATCATTTCTCCAAAGTTGCTGTTGGGGTCATCTATCTGAAAGAAAAGAGATAATACTATATTTAATTAAGTTGAAAGCCCATAAAACATGTCCTGGGCAAAAAAGAAGCACATTCTTTAAATAGATGTTAAGCACCTACTGTATGCTGAGCACTGGTGCTGAACAACAGGGGAAGTACAAAGTTGAAAAAAAAGTACAATTGGAGGGGCCCATCAATTGGGAAATGGCTTAATAAATTATGGTATGTGAATGTAATGGAATAATATTGTGCTGTAGGAAATAATGGAGAGTTTCTTTTTTTGTGTGTGCAATTACATAAAACATATTTCCATATAGTCATGTTGTGAAAGAAGAAACACCCCCTCCCAAAAAAGGAAAAAAAGAACATGAAAAAAATAAAGTGAAAAATAGTATGTTTTGATCTGCATTCAGACTCCATCACTTCTTTCTCTGGTTGTGGTTAGCATTTTCCATCATGAGTCTTTTGGAATTATCTTTGATCACTGTATTGCTGAGAATAGCTAAGTCATTCATAGCTGATCATCATACAATATTGCTATTATTGTGTACAATGTTCTGATGGAGACAATTTCTATTTTTTTTAGTTTTTTTAAGGTGTTTTTTTTAGTTTTTTAGGCAATTGGGGTTAAGTGACTTGCCCAGGGTCACACAGCTAGTAAGTGTCAAGTGTTTGGTCTGAGGTCAAATTTGAACTCAGGTGCTCATGACTTCAGGGCCGGTGCTCTATGTACTGCACCACCTAGTTGCCCCTGATGGGGACAATTTCAGAGAAATATGGAAAGACTTGTATGAATTGATTCAGAGTAAAGAGTACAGAACCAAGAGGATACTTTATACTATGGCAGCAGCACTGTAAAAAAAAATTTTAAAGACTTAAGAATTCTGATCAATCCAAGGATCAACCATGATTCCAGAGGGGTGATGATGAAGAATGTTACCTACGTCCTGACAGAGAGATGATAGACTATGCAGAATGACACACATTTTTGGGTAAGGCTAATACGGACATATATTTTTCCTAACAATGAATATTTTATACAAGGATTTTATTTTTCTTTTTTTCCCTGGGACATCAGGAGGTAAAAATGGCAGAGAGAAAAAAAAATACTTCATCATAGCATCCTTGCTCACATGCGGCATAATCCATAAATGCAGGCAGCTCCAATACATAATATGACGTGATAAGGTCATTAGAAATAAAAGCAGAGCAAAGTATACTGTGAGGTATACATTATGAGAGGAAAGGTTATCAACCACTGGGGAGCAGCCACCATTTTGTGATGGAGGTGGCTTTTCAGTTGGGCTTTAAAGGATAGATAGGAAATTCAATAAGAAATTGAGGTGGGAGGGAGGACATTCCAGGCATAGAAACATGTTTGGTTCTGACAAGGTTCATAATGAAAGACCTTAATGTGACCACTACGGACTAGAAACATTTTTAAATGTCCTGTAATTTCAGGAATTACAACAGTGATTGTAGCATTGAGCAAAAGATAGTTCATCCCATGTATACATCTAATTTAGCCTGCTCTTTTAGAATACGGATGTATGATACCGGTGCTATTGATTATAAACCCAAAGCAGCCAGTCAGAGAGAGGCAACTGGGCACAGTGTACAGAGAGCTGGTCTCAGAATCAAGATGACCTGTGTTTGAGGTCCACTTCTGACATACTTTGCCTACAGGGAATCACATAACATCTCAGTACCCCTTCACTATCATCCTCAACTCTCAAAGACTATAAGTTGCAGAATGGTTGCTAATCTGCATTGGTAAAAGGAGTTTCTTCAGCAGGGAGTTTCCCACGCGGATGAAATCACAAGTCCAAACAAAACAAAACAAACCCAATTATAAAGGTGAAAGTTACAATGAAGTCTGTCCTGTATTTAGTGCAACTGCATGACCTAAATGGTGAATGTGAGAGGTAATGTGGGGAGTTACTGAAATCAGCCCAAGAAAATGTCATGTAAGATTGTTTTTGCTTGTCTGAGGATCTATCAAAATGATGGGATCCAGTCTGTACCATAGGACATGCTTTCCACCATTAGAATGTTTAGGCCAGCATAGTCATGTAATAATTTCCCACATATGATGTCACTGTCCTACCATAGCAATGGTAATAATATAGAAATACTACCTTTGGGAGGACTTTCTGAGGGATTTCCTAGAAACTAAGGCCAAAGTCATGGATGCCTATTAACTAGCCCTACTTCATCAGGAGTCAGCTATTTCCAACTAAGTGGCAACTATTTCCAATTCAATTCAGCATGCATTTGTTAACCACCTATTGTATGCAAAGTTATATGTTAGGTGCTGGAGAGACCAAAAAAAAAAAAGCAGAGGCAGAAGATGGAATGTTCATATATGGGGAACCCAAGTAGACCAATTTAGCTAAAGATCAGTGGGTATGAGGGGAGTAAGTAATATGAAATAAGCTGTGAAAGTTAGATTCAAGCCAGACAATGAAGGGCTTTAAATAGCAAACAGAGGATATAAGGGTGTGGGTGTGTGAGTATGTGTTTGAAAGTATGCATGCAGGTATGAGTCAGAGTAGATATATCTTTAGGATTTACAAAATCTTTGCAAACTGGAATTCCATGTCTGTTGCTATTTGTCCTAACCCTTCCCACTCCTTCATTGAGTCAGAATGTGACACGTAGGGAGATCATCAAGGGATGAAATATCACCTCACCTACTTAGAGGTAAAGGTTTGCAAAGGCTTAGCTCTTTCTTTAACTATATCCCCATATCAGCCCAAACAGCTCACAATCCTGTCAACTAAGAAACTTCCCCCCGGCCAAAAAAAATAGCCTTGGACTTGTCTTTAATCTTCCATGGTTCTATATATTTCATGGCTCCTTTGGAGCAAATTTTTCAGTAAAACCAAAATAACTAAACATTAGAATGAAAACGAGAAAAGTTGATCTCAACACACTCATAAAAATTAGTACTGCAATTTAAGCAATCAACAGAAACCCTCCAATGGTTGGCTAAAATTCAAGGCATACGTTTGTAGTGAAATTTTATATGTTGTGGTGTGGATAAATACATGTATTGCTCTAATCAAAGCATTTAAGTCAAACTGGGGAGAAAGCACTGAGTTTAGTGTTGATTCTTGGGCATTTATGCACCTTTAAAATATCCAAACCAGGGCACAAGTGAGCCTTTAAACATATTCTTTTTGGACTTTTTCTTGATGACATTCATTTTTTGAATGTCTGGTATTTATAGACCATAATATTCATAGCTGTGTTTTTAGTGGCAGAAAAAAAAAACAACCAGGAAAGTAGGTGCCCATTGATTGAGGAATGGCTAAAAATATTTGGCTTATAGAAATAATGGAATATTACTGCACCATAAGAAGTGATGAATATGAAAACATACCAGAAGCATAGGACGACATATTCTTGATGAAGTATGCAGAAGCAGGAAAATAATATAAGCAATGACTACAACAACATAAATAGAAAAAACAAAAAAACTGAAACAGAACACCATACGAACATAACGACCACATTTGGCAATGGAGAAGTTAAAAAAAATAAATTTCCTTCCTATATTTGCATAGATGGGGGACTAAGGGTATGAGACAGATATACAATATACTGTCTGACATGGTTGAAATGTTGCTGGTTTTCCTGAATTGCTTTTCAAATCTTTGTAGCAAGGGATAGCTAAGTGGATAGGGGAGGGATGTATTAGGAAATGAAAGCGACATAAAAACAAAAGTTATCAATAAAATTTTTTAATCTATTTTTAATCTTTTTTTTTTGGCTAAGCCGAGATCTTTGCCCCTTACACCAAAGGGAATCTGTCTCCCATTTGTCTGAAGGCCCACAGCTCCTTATCTCCCTTTGAAAGCCCTAACCCTACCTTTTCATCTTATGCAGATGCCTTTCAAACTTCTTCCTTCCAGTTCCCTTCATTATCTATTCCCATTGTCTATTCAATCTCTCAGACCTTCCAATTGGAATTCGCACCTAGACCCTTTTCCTAGTCCCCTCCTCTGGTCTCCCAAAGTTACTTTAATATATATAAGATCCACCCTGGCCCCCATTCAAATGCTGAGACTCTCTCAGGCCCAAAAGTCTGAGACTTTCTCATGCCTGCTAGTCCCTATGGGTGTTACTAATGTTCAGATTCCTTAAGAGTCTGGCCTGTATGATTTATCTCTAATTAACTTTTCTTCTGGCTGGAAGAAGATTTGGGTTGCATTTATTCAGGTAGGGCCCGCCTCATGATCTTGGGGTTCCAGCATCCCTAAACCTCTAGACCTCATCGGTTTTACTCCCCTTTCTCTGCAAGACTTGTACTTATTCATTTTTACATATACCCACAGTATAGGATTGGGAGTTAGGAGGGTAAGGGAAAGGATCCACAGTGCCTTGCACACAGGTACTCAATAAATGCATGTAGCTTATTAAATTCGTATCCAAACACCCAAGGGTAGCTTACAGAATGGAAATAGCCTTTGCAGAGAGGCAATAGATATGCATCTTTTCCACTCCCACTCTGTACCAGGATTTTTCTTGAAGGCAGAGTAGGTGAAGGGAGCTTGGGAGGGAAAAGTCAAATCAAACAACAAAGTTTATTGAAAATGTACTGCAGAGGGAGCCATAAGGTGCCATTTCTATAGTAGCTTTGTCCCTTCTCTGAGTCTCCAGCCAAGCACTGGCTTTAGAAGCTTTCTAGCCCCATACCTTGCTACACCAATTGGCTGTCATAGAGGAAAACTAAAAATTCCATCCCTTTTGTAGAATATTGCCTCAGCTGCAAAATTATAAAGAATAAGCATGGTTTGAAAAAAGAGATATGGGAAGACACTCCCACCATACTCCTTTGCTGAGGTGGGAGGTCTATAAATGTTGTATATTGCACATATTTTCAGACTTTTTTGATGTATTAGTTATGTTGATTTTTCCTCTTTTTCTTCATCTTTAAAAATATTAGTTATTATATGGGATGGCTGTCTGGGAAAGAAGGAGTGATACTGGCAGGGAACATGATGTTGTAAA